TTTTAAGTAGGAGGCTCCCTCCCTTTCTGCTACCTACGGGTGCAATTTCCAGTCCTTTCTCCAAAAGAAACATTTGGCTTTCTACAGAGAACCTCTGAGACCTCATGTGACTGAAAATGGAAGAAGGGGAAAGAGGCCCTCATCACACCCCATCCCCAAACCCCAATGGGGAAGCTGAGGTTGGGCCCCTGTAGATCCATTTATTTTAGAAGGTACTTGGTTCTGAAGCATTTGTTTCAGAAATTACCCCCATGCCCCATCAATAGTAGCTTTCAACGGCTCTTCCCAGCCCTTCCCGGGTGGCCTTGTCTCTTTTCAATTTCATTTCCTATTGGAAAGGATAAACAGGTAACTGTTTAATGCCACTGACTGGACTCATTTAACAGAAAAAACAGGACCTGAGTGAGGCTGGGGAACCAGGGTGAGGTTGATGGTTGGACCGGAGCAGCTGGGAGAAGAGAAAGGCATCACAGAACACCATGGCGGGGCTTATTCTACTACTCCTGCTTGTGACGGAACGTCGCCCCAGGAGGTTGGTCTAGGAACACACATGTAATCAGCTGCCATGTTAGACGTGGATCCCTAGACTTGGCCTGGAGGCCTTGGTGGGATCCTGGCACTGCCACTCCCTACTGGTGCCCTTCCGTCAACTCCTTCAAGCCTGATGAGCCTCGGTAGCCGGTCTGTTCTCCCATACAAGGTGCTATGAATTTGAACGATGCATGCAACGTGCTTAGCCAGTGCCTCACACATAGTAGGTATTCACTTTCAGCAGCTGACAACCAGCATAGGAACCCAAACAATGTAGCGCCATGTTTCCTAGTACATGCCAGACACTGTTGGGCAATAAGGGCACGCTTATAGATGACAGAGTCCCTGGCTTTAAAACAGGCAGGCATGAAACAGATAATTTCAATACAGCATGGTAAGGATCCTAATCAGGATAGATATGGGGTGATGTGTACCCCACATATGAAGTGTCTAAGGGCACTGTTAATGGCATGGTCAATGGGACTGATAAAAGGACTCATTCATTGTCTCTCTCCAGAATGCAAGGTCCAGCAAAGCAGGAACGCTGCCTGTCGTATTCAGCTCTGTATCCATTAGGAGCACTAAGGGAATGCTTGAGGCGGTCTTAAGTAAAGAAGGAATTAGCCAGGAGGAGACTGAGGTTAAAGGCAATCCAGTCAGAAGGAACTACATGAACAAAAGTACAGAGACTAGAAACAGAGTGATACATTTAGGGAATTAGAGGCAGGTTGTTGAGACATATGGACTATAAAGTACGAGGGAAGGGATGAGGTGAGAGGAGTCAGCGTGGGGGTAAGACCATGGAGAACCTTGCTTATCAAGTTGAGTGTGGTGCTGGTGTGGGTGAACACACAGGTGTGGAGGGCCAGGATGGAAAAGCTGCGGACACGGGCTGATTGAACAGGATCTAAAATCTCGAAAATATGCTTTCCCTATATGCCTGCCAAAGTACCTATGACTTTTTTTTTTTTACAATAAACCCCAAAGTAATAATATTAATCAAAAACAGCTGTTACTTCTTATTCTCCAATTAGTTTATCAGATTTGCGAGCCAGGTCAATTTTCCCAACAACCAGATGAGGTAATTACTTTTGTTATCTCATCTTACAAGAGAGGAGACCAAAGCACAGATTGGTTGAGTGGCTTGCCCAAAGTCACACAGAATGTAGGCAGTAGATACAGGATTCAAACTTAGTCACCTGGACCCCAGAGTTCATTCTCTTAACCACCATGTTATCTCAAACCTACCTTCATTTCATCATTTCTGTCTTCAGCTGAATGCATCTACTGTTTGACCCGTTTGATGAGCTTTTAATTTCAATAGCTCTATTTTTCAGTTCTAGAATTTCTACTTAGTTCTTTTAAAATCTTCTTTTTTTATCATATAGTCCTGTACTTGACCTAAGGTTTCCATTTCCTCTTCACCATGAGACATTTTATTTATTTATTCTTCCCATGAAACATTTTAAACATATATTCTTTCTCAAATCGGTCTATTGTCTTTAGTTTCAAAGGCCTGAGCTCCTCTGTGTTTGGTCTACCGACTCTTGCTAACTGGGTTTCTTTTATTCCTCTTTTGCACATACTATACTTTCTAAAAGTGCACTTAACCTCAGTAGGAATCTGCTGTTGTTATTTAGTGGTTATGATTTTTTTAAAATTTCATTTTTGGTGGGAGCGCCATAGGCACTGGGATGTTGAGACATTTTGTGAGCTGGTTTTAGGTTGTCCCCAGTCAGGGTCTCAGAGTTTAATCAATTCCAGACCAAGTTTTTACATTCGCTTCTCAGTTTGTAGCTTGTGTATGACATGAGAAGAACTCCAACCCCCAAGCCCCATGTAACACAGGTTGGGGTTTGTATTTCCCCTGGGTGACCCCAACAACCCAGGGTGGTTCATAGACTTCCACACCACACCCTCAGTAGAACTGGCCTTTCCTGCTCGGTTCAGTCATCCCTGACAGCCTAAGCAATGAATTTGTTTCTTATGGCCTCAGTTCTCATCTCCATGGGATATTGAAACTGTAGCCCCAGAGAACCATATACATTTCCCATATATTTATAAAACTTTTTATTTAATTCCTTCTTGCTGATCATCGCTCTACCTACCATGGAGCTTTCTCTTCTGGCACCTGGAGATTTCTCCTTTTTGGGTACCAGCCTGTCAGTGAATTTTTTTCATTGTATCCTTCCACCAGCATCTCTGTGTAATTAGGGGGGAATGTCCCTTGACTGCCCACATTTAGATATCAGTCTTTCCCACCTGTGTTCAGGGAGGACGGAGACCTTTGTCTAATTCATCTTTCAATACTAATTTTTCAGACAGTGCCCAGACCAGAGCAGGAAGCAAAAAAGATCTGATCAATGAATGAAAGAATTAATCAGCTTTCTTTCTCATTCTAATGGGAATGAAAGGCCATATACTAATTTTCTTCTAGAGAAATATAACACCAAGAATCTCTGGAAAGCCATCCATGCTCTCTGGAAGGCCAAATTGAACAAACAAAAAGCTGGGGGCCTGTCTTAGACCAGCTTTTTAGCAAGTAGGTTCATAGCTATCGACACTACTTTTTTCTTGAAGGGCACCCACTGCTAATTACCGTGCTGGTCTGATAGAAATTCAAAGCCTGGCAGCCTCACCCCGTGACTGCATGTAACTGATGTCCTTTTATAGCCATAACCAGAACCTGATCAAAACATGTAGTGTACAATGATATCATTTTTACTGCTGGTGCCATAAGGAGCTTGCCAATTATGTTCGCATTCTTGAAAGCACCTAGCAAAGTGCTTGTCACAGAATGGGCACTGAGCAGACATTTAGCGGGCTTTACGTCTTCTTTCACATTAAAAAAAAAATTTAATAAATATTTGTTGAAAATCCACTGCCTCCTAGGCATGGTGCCTGGTGCTGGACATGGAGAGAATAATATACAGTCCTTGTTTTCATCCTAAATTACAAAAAGAATGTCCAAAATAAAATTGACAAGAGAAAATTATTCTAAATGCCCTCTCATTTAAGGTGAAAAGATATCTCACATCATCCCACCACCCTAAAATGCCTAACAAAGTATAACCACCAACATAACCTTGCCTATTACTGTTTTATAAGCTTCTCTCGCTTCAGGGAGAAAATACAACTCCCAGGGAACACATAAGCTGACAAAAAGAGCTGATTATCAAAGTTGTCTGACACATGGGACAATGACTTTTGAGCTTTTGTCACTATAATCCCAGAACCTAGAATCATAACTGAACTAAAGCAGAAACTCAGTAAGTTTGTTGAATGTATTTGCACATACAGATACAGATGTGCCCTTCCATGTATATGTCCTGAGATAAGTTGTGATTCATTATTCCACACATACTGATTGAGGATTTCCTATGAACAAGAGTCTGTCCTAGACTTGGTGATGGAGACAAAGACAAAGACCAAGGACAAAACAGAAATCCTACTTAAAAGGAATTTTCAAGCTTCAGAATGAGATAGACAGGTATATAAATCACCGTGATGTAACACAGAAAATGCGAAGAGAAGCAGAGGAAAGGGCTATGGAAGTTCCAAAGAAGGAATGGTCACTTCCTGCTGAGGGATTAGATAAGACTGTGGCTAATAGAGAATTTGTTCTTGGTCTTGAAGAATAAGTAATTTGTGGCACGCAGAAGGGAGAGAATGGTTAGTGGCAAAGAAAAAAGGGGTGATTCAGTTGGAAAGAACAGCTTAGGCAAAAGCTAGGGAAAGAAAAGCACAGGGTAAATAAGAAATAGAAATGTCACTGGAGATGCATAAAGAGACATAAAGGGGAGGAAAGAAACAAGCCTGGGAGGGTGGGATGAGCCAGCCTGCAGGGGCTTTGACTGTGTCCCCGATTTACCATTCCAGGACACGGGATCTCTATGGAGTAGCCAGTGCTTAGCATATGGTGGAACTTAATTAATACTACAACAACTTCACAGCAGGAACCTGTTCCCCACGTGCGCGCAGGAAGCCGCCATCTGTACGCACAGGCAATTACAAACATTCCAAACACTCTGCCCTGAACTCTGCAAGCACATCAAATACTCACTGGAAAAGGTCACTCAGCAAACAGCTCTGATCAATCCTGGCCCAGGCAGAATCAAATCCCCTAAATAAGATCCACTAGATGCGGTGTCAGGAAGGTCAGAAACAACCCTATTTCACATCTTGAAGCGTTTTTACCATATGGAACGTTTTAGAGGAAGAAGGGAAAGGAAAGGGGGAAAAAAACTCTCCCCAGAAATAATAGAATTCCAAGTAATTAAATGTTAAATAATCACAAAGTAAGCAAGGGATTTATTTTGGCCCCCGCCACTTTCTAAGGATCTAAGAAGCAGTTGATTTCAAAGAAGGCCATGCCAGGATTAAAAATGGAGTTTCACGCCAGGATTAAAAATGGAGTTTCATGCCTCCCCCTCTTCCCTCTCCCCATCCTATGCATCCCCATTGTGTACCTTTGTCGAGTTCACTTGAAATGTTCCATGATGAGGTAGGCACTAACTCAGCAGTGACTGACAACTCTGTTTCTGGAAAGAAAAAGAAGGGAGGGGAGAAAGACAGGGTGAGTGTAAATATATAAGTAACTTATGGGCTGTTAGAAGCATTATGGGAGACTTCCAAACGCCCTGCCCTGGGAGAGAGACCAGTGCAATCCCAGAGTTTATTAAGCAGGAATGCCGGGGGAAGACTCCTGATTTACGGAGGCTATCCAGGAGAAGAATCGGTAGACCAGCGTGCAAGCCTCTTTTCTTTGAAACATGGGCTTGAAAATTAAAATACAAATATTTCATGAACAAAAAAAATCAAGCCTGAAGAAATGACCAAACACTGTCAAACATCAACTTTTCTTTTTCTCGTTAGAAGACCACTCCTAGACTATACAATAGTCTTTCCATGGAAAATGAGAGCTACATTACTGATTTTATTTGTTGTATTTGTGAATTGATGGGATTTCTATTAGTAGAGAAATCTATGTCTCTATGTGGAAGCTTATAGTCAAGACAAACGAAACCTAAGTATTTGAATACGAGAGTCAACCAAGGCAACTCAACTTAAAAGGCAATTTTCAAAACCACCATTAATTAAAGCAAACATGAAGATCAACAATCTACAGGGTACAATATATTATGGAGATATAAAAATTCTTTAGTAATAGACTGTAATATACAAATTATGTTTTTATTGTTTTTGAAATTTTAAGTGACAACACTGTCCTACTAGCACATTTTAATTTTAGTAAGGTTTCACTAACCTTCTCTTAGGCTACACATACACACACACACACACACACACACACACACACACACGCTGTATTACAGAACTTTAGTACTGAGCAATATCTCAGAGAACTCAGAGCCTATGACATTGGATACATGGCACCCAGGGGTACCGGGACGGCTCAGTCAGTTAAGTGTCTGACTTTAGTTCATGTCATGATCTCCAGGTCCTGGGATCCAGCCCCATGTTGGGCTCCTCACTCAGCGGGGAGTCTGTTATCCCTCTCCCTCTCCCTCTACTCCTCACCCAGCTTGTGAACACTCTCTCTCTCTCAAAATAAATAAATAAAATCTCTTTAAAAAGAAGGAGAGAGAGAGAGAGATGGCACCCATGCTGTCAATTCCCATTCCTTCATTCGAGTGCAGACCTCCTTAATCAAGTATGGCTCTTTTTGCCTATTAAACCTGGGACTTGCCTTAGAGTCTTTTTGACAGAGTGCTCTAGGCAGCCACTAAAAATGGTTCTGAAATGCAACTTTTTAGTGAGTGGAAGAACTGGGATTCAGATCCAGGTCTGTTACTGCCCACACACCTCCTCATAGCTCATGCTACCTGGTATTCAACTCTGTGAAACCTGATTTGTTTTTCATCTTGCCTCTCTCTCTGGCTTCACCTTTTTACCTAAATAAGCATACTTTCTACCATTTCCTTATTTACTGATGGGGCTTGGCTGCCACTTGGCCATAGACACCACACACCATAGTCAGTGAACTTTGCCAAGAACAGGATGTTTACCCACTGAGACCTTGCAACGGCCCACTTTTAGTTTGTCTACTGCGTCTCTGATCAACCTGTCACACACAACAGAGACAAAGGGTTTGTGTGGTTTGTGCAGAACTCCTAGGGTTTGCCTCTTTCCCTGTCTAAGCGGCACCTGGGAAAGAAAGTAGAAGAACCCCAACCCAAATGGTCCCAGTCCCTTCCTATGTCCTGAGTTAAAAACAGCAGAGCTTCTTTTAAGGGGACCTGAAGCCAGATGGACAGTATGGCAGGAACCTGAAAGCACTTAAGATTCCAAAATATGAAAGAAAAAAGAAAAAAGTATCCCAAATAGGAAAAATGCTTCACCCAAAACCACAGTGCTCCTGTTCGCGATGAACCATTTGTCCTACGAATGAATAATTCGTGCAGGTGATTCCATGAGGAAGATCTAACTGCCTACACTTGGGAGCCCTCCATGAATGACCCCAACCACAGCTCTACCCTCACCCCAATCCTGCCGCCACCCACTTTGGCTCTTTGAATAATGGCCCTTTGTTTGCTGTATTATGGACAACTGCGGTTCACCATATAAAAGAGCTCATCAAGCACTCCAGTACCCAGACTTCAGGGAGCTGGGGAATAGAAGCATGGCAGCCAAGGCAGCGTTTCAGGCAAGGAAGCAAAAGGTGGGGAAGTGGTGGGATTAAGATTGACCTTGACAGTATTTACATTCAACATTTTCATAGCTTCATCTTACTGCTGCTCAGTTACACTGCCAGAAATACAGGTTCCATTTTACAGTATTAATTTTATAGAAAGTTAGCCCGATGTCACTTGGTTTTTCTAACCTGAGTTTGAATTGCTGATTGAATATAATTTGGGACCGATGACGAATAGATTCTTGGCACTGCTAATGGCAAAATTGTTCCCCATGTGTCTCTGGACACTAATGACTACTCTGCTCTTGGACTAAGGCAACGATAATTTCAATTCACAAGCTTATTAAGTGACTGTGATGATTCTGAGGAATTTTGTTCTCGGTCTCAAGATTCATTCCTTTAGATAACCACATGTTCAGCTTTTCAGATAAAATGATCATAAAAACAGATAAAATATTTTAAAATATGAATAACCTCCCTAAAAAATATTATCTTCCAAGGCCACATTTTTTAAAAGAAAGGCCGATTATTTTCTGTGCAAAGTGTAGTAATAGTAATACCCCCTCACAAAAAATGATGTTACTAGGCTTCCCCTCCCCCAAAAGGAAGGCTGACCTTTATGTGAGAAAAATTCAGTACTTGTCAACTTGCACTCCATGGAGTTCACAGTCAGTAACAGCTTTAGAGAGAGGCACAACCACCAGCTTTGTCCATGTAGGATCTCCACTAATGGATTCAGCTTCTTTCCTACATCCTCATCATGGCAAAAGGATAAGATATTTCCAAGTACATTTAATACCCGCTAGCAACATCTCTTTGTGTAAAATTATTGTGGTAAGAACAAACTAATATGGGCCAATTAGGAGATAGTAGACTATTTAATGGAAGCACACACCTAGATTAAAATACTAATTTCATGATCATGAGCAAGTTACTTAAAAACTTTTGGCCTCTATTTTCTCATCTATAAAATGGGGACAATAAGAGACGCCTGGGTGGCTCAGTTGGTTAAGCGGCTGCCTTTGGCTCAGGTCATGATCCCACCGTCCTGGGATCGAGTCCCACATCGGGCTCCTTGCTCATCAGGGAGCCTGCTTCTCCCTCTGCCTCTGCCTGCCATTCTGTCTGCCTGTGCTTGCTCTCTCTCCCTCTCTCTCTCTCTGACAAATAAATAAAGAAAAAAAAAATGGGGACAATAAAAGCCACCTCACAGGATTGTGGTAAGGATTACATTAGATTATGGTCCAAAGTGGACCTGCACACTGTCCAGCACAGAGTGGACCCCCAAGATCTTCTGTGCCTTCCTCTCGGTCTAGTAAAGCAAATAGCCACCCGTTAAGCAGACATCCTCTGGTTAGCGGCTATGTCACTGTTTAGGTTTGAAATAACACATTCTCCACGCTTTTAGGAAAGACTCTGTATTTCTCATGCTCTACTAATCTAAGCCAATTTTTTCATTTTTGTGAGGTTTTCCCCGAATTGGTCACCAGTTCTCTTAAGAACATAAGTGCTTTTATGCATTTTTACCCAATTTAGGCAAATCAAGCGTATTTTAGAAAACTCCAGCCCTTATCTTCCCTGACCTCTGCAGGAGGGCAAACCATTCTTCTCCCGATTTGATCAATAGGAGCTATTATCTTTGCAGTTTCACTGATGATTGACTTCTTGGCACTGATTCTGCAAACCATAAGGTTTTGGTATTTAAGCCTGAACAGTGGGAGTGTTATTTGGAGGAAAGGGGAAAAAAAAAACAAAAAAAAAACAAGCCTTGAATCCTCCTCATTGATAAAAGCCTGTGCTCTCTGAAAGGATTACTGGTTCATCTCAGCAGTTGGCAGGTAGAGACCCCACGTTCACAGGATGTAGAATCTCTTGCAAGAAGCACCCAGCCACGCCACATCCTGTAACCTGAAGCAAGGATACGTGAGCTTACACAGACATAGACCAGCATACTCAGGAGACTCGTGGCCAGCCCCATGGTCACCAGGGCCAAGTATGAGGGAATAAATGGCCCAGTGTCCTTCTTGACCAGAGCCCCTGAGTCCCAGAATGTTATACTCGGGTATGCCTTAGATATTTTTTATGCCCACTGGATTTTGTGGGGGGTAATTTGATAGAGCAACATCAGAGGCTGTAGAGGGAGAGAGGACAAGAGGACAGGGCTCTAGACCCTTCTTCAACAGGAACAACTTTCCATATCTCTGTTTTAACTATCAGATATTGTGGAAAAGTCTCTGATGCTTTAAACAAAACAAACAAACAAAATTAAGCCTCTCCTATGGTACAGGCTCACTTTACAGATGAAGAAAATGAGGGCCACAGAGGTCAAGTGAGTTAGTGAAAATCACAGAAGTTCTAAATAAACCCAGGCCTTAGAAATGACTTAGAAATAAATGCATGCTGCCTTCTCTCTGTGTTCCATTATCTTCTGTCTGTGCCCCTAAGACATGCTATGTATCCTTAGAAGCTGAGTTCAGAGACACACACAAGGCATTTTCAAACAGCTAGGGTCAGTCACACAAAATCGGTACACTTTCTTCTCTGCTCATGGTCAGTGGGGCACAGGGGAGGGTGGGAAGGAGGTGGGCATGCTGATGGCTTCAAGTTCTCTGCTATGCCGTGTCATTCTAGATATTATTTGGTGATGGCTCTCAGCCATGGTTCCTTCCTGTCACCAGTGCCTGAGTGGAGGAGAAGCCCATAGCCATAACTTACTTGTAAGGTAACTTACTTGTAAGTTACCTTGACAGAGAGCACCTGTTTGGGAAAGTAACAGCCAAGCAGGGCACGTTCCCTAACAGTACAAGGGGTCAGTCAGCCAGGGCACTGTCCCAGCTCTGGGTTCACAATCACCCTATATCTGGGGTCCTGAAAGAGGGGCCCCTCCGC